ATGTACACCCAAACTAAACTACGGAAAAGATGGTAGCAACCAGAGCAGAAGAGCAAAAAGCAGGTAGGTAACACTTCTAATCTAAGGACCCTGCTGTTACTTTTTTCACACCACCATTATCTAGTTTTATGAGCTGGTAACCAGGGAACACAGAAATTACATGAGTTGCCCAAGGTGATAACAGTGAACCAGCAGCGCACCAGAGAATACAACATAGATCTAGCAAGTCGTAATCTGCCGCCCTGCCTGCCTCCCTCTCATACCTGTTGTGTTCCCAGGATACAAACATGGTTTTGGTAAACCGGAGTTCAGCCATTTCCTGATCACATACAGGAATACATATTATAAAAGCACCTTTATCGTTGCCTTTCCATGGAGCAGCACTAGGCCATTGCACTTGAAATTTCTGAGGAATTAAAAACTAATATATAGTTGGTGCTAGTGATGACTGTACAAACTTTGCCCTAACACTTCAGTGCCCTGCTCAGGACAGCACTGCCTACCCAAGAGAGAGAAGACTAGAGCCAGAGCCAGAAATATGGCTGAGATGCCAATTGTTTCTTACAGGGGAAAGGCTACTAGAGCAAGCAAAGAAATCAGAGAAAATATAGTTGCACAGATGCTTGCAGGTGGAGAGGGAGGAAGGGCCTGCCACAAAAGAAAATAACAAATGAGAAAGCCTCCTCTCCACTGCTCAGCAAGGGCGGGGGAGGATGTGTGGCCAAGTCAGTTGAGATTGAGGTTAGGAATCAAGGGTGCCTGCAATTTAACCCTGGATCTGGCTCTCACTTAGTTGTAGGCATTGGGCAAGTCAGTAAAGTTCTCTGCCTTAATTTCTCCACCTGTAAAATGGGGTCTGGAATAATAGTTACACCATCGGGTGGATTAAAGAGCAGCTGTACAAAGCTTTGAAATGTACAGCCATAGATCAGGGCTAAATAGCTCTGTTTCTGCCATAAGCAGTCACTTCGGGGCAATATGTGCTGACATGATGTTATAGGACCAATGTTAAATGCTAGAAAGGTGGGAATGTTTATTAAATGGATAGGTTAGCTTCAGGGGAAAGGCTTCTGTGCTTCATGATGCAAACACATGATTTTTCAATAGGTACCAGAATGCAAGAGGCAAATATTTTTTTAAATTTTCTTTTAATTTTGTACACACATTACCAGGCTGTCTGTGAAATGTACAGGTACCCAGGCAGAGCCCAAAATTTAACCTAAGGCTAATACTGAAGGATATGAACTAGCTTTATCTTTCAAAAGCTGTCAATGCAAGTCTGATGCTTCATGTATAATAACCAGGGCAGAAGCACCCACACATACAAATAATGCACTTAAGAGCATTGAAAGACAAGATCTTAATCTCAAGAAAAAAATGATGTCTCTCCAATGTGTCAGAACTTCAAAAGTAATTGTGAGATCTGACAGGGCTTGCTGGTGATTCTCTTAAAGACTCTTTATAGCTCCTCTTACAGGGGCCTTGGGGTGATTCATGTTGATCATGTCTGACAGCTAGCATTTCTGTTAATAATAATCATAAATAAAGTGGACAAGGTTGCCTGACCTGAAATGAGCATATCTATAGTGCCATATCCATTACAGCACAGTGGATCTGTGACCGCAAATCAGGAAAGGTCCAATGCTCTCGACACTATGTATTAAAATAATATCTGTCTTTCAAGAGCTCAGAACCTTTGTCTTCTTTTTCCTTAAAAAGTGTTCTTTGAGAGAGAACATCACACTAGAACAGACCTATAGAAAGGAGCTATTATGGAGGATGAAAGATTGCAGACCTTTGCATTATTTTTGTTTATTATGCAATAAAAAGATATTTGTGAACAGCTCTATTCTCCCTTATATCTTAGCTCCTCCTTCATGTTCTCCTGCATTGAAGTCATAATCCTGGTTTTATGCCATCATAAATCTGCTGACATGTGAAAAATTATACTATTATCAAACACATCAAAACAGAATTATGATTTCACTGCTGCAGGACCAAATGCAAACAGGAGCTGGGTTATAAGAAAGGCAAAAGCCTTATTAATTTCTGGGCAGTGGTTCGCTCTTAGAGATATGGAAGGTAGTAAAGATTTATTTTTTTTAATTTGCATAAAACCCTGGTTGCACTTATACACAAATACCCGTACAACTCATTCAAAACAATACAGGAATTACTTGCAGATATAGGGAATCACCCTCAAAAGTATCAGAAATAACACACTTAGAATCTCTCCATGTCAGGTGACAGGCTGAATTAAGAGAGAAGCTTTGCAAAGTACTTTGAGGGATGTCAACGTGCCAGGCTATGCTGAGCCCACTGGGGCAGGCAGCTTCCAGGGACACAGGCTCTCCACTGAAAACCCTCCACCCCAGAGATTCAGGTCCAGCAGTGAGCAGATATCTGCAATGTTGCTGACCAGGAAGAGAAGAACTAAACCACACAAGAAATTAGAATAAAGAGATTAATCTGTCAGCCAGCGAAAAAGCTGTATTTGGTGAAAAACACAGGTCAGATGTTACACAGCAGTAAAAAAAACCGGCAAAGCACACAGCAAAGCTTCGATTCTCCATGTTTCCTGCTAAGGAAAGGTTCCTGCTCGCCCCCTCACTCAGTGCCCTTGCATATCTGCACAGCACAACAAACCAGCGTCACTGCTCTGCCAGGTAGGTCAAGGCTGGCTAGACCATGGAAAAGCCTCTTCTCTCCAGGTGTGTCTTCCAGACTGCTATAAGAGCAACCTGAAACCTGAGTCTCAAACAGTCCTCTCTTCTTAATTCCTTTTTCACAGCCACTGACAGAATGTTCAGTCCTACACAGGGGTTATCGAAAGCCAAAGTTGTAAGCCAAAATATGACCCTGATAGAAAAGTACAACACACAGATCGGAAGCTCTTCTGTAATTACAACACAAAGACAATGTTTTCCTCGCTCGTATCTCCAGCCTTGCCCAGCCTCCAATGGGCTAGGCAGTGCTAGCTTTATGGTTGGACTTGATGATCTTAAAGGTCTCTTCCAACCTAAATGATTCTGTGATTCTATGGTCTAAGCAGAGAGAAGTGAAATGAAACAGCTAGTTTTATAAGCATCAGAGTAAACAGATCTTGGTCTCCTACTGATTTAGGTTTGGGAAGACCTCTGGAGTCTAAAGAATCTGCAGGCTCTGCCTCAAGCTCTTCTCAGAGTATTTTGTTAAAGTAGTTCCCCCAGGGAAGGGGGTGTGTTCTGTAGTGTCTAATAAGGATAAATCTACATTGCGGTTTTCTCTCTGTTCCCTCATCTGCACAGCTGCCTGTTTTCACAGAACTTGATAATTTTTTTCATTTAAATATCCTGTGGAAAAAGTCCATATCATATGGGCAGCTTCTCCACAAGATACAATCCAGTTGCCAGTATACGCCCAGAAACACAGTCTCTGTGGACAGCTTTCTTTTCCTTTTCCACAACATACAAATCATCCTTCTTTTTCTTGCAAGTTACCATTAAAAAGTTTATATTTGAAAGGAGCTATTAAAGGAACAGCTTCTCAGAAAGAGGAAAATCAATTTACTGCCACGTAAACTGAAGGGATAGGAACAAGGTTTTTCTCATAGGATGCAAAGTTAACAGAAAGATTATTTCATCACTTGGTCTGTGCTTGCACTGTGTAGAGTGATCACTTTCAGATGCATCCTCTGAACAGGTACAATCAGCCATGCACTTATGTATATGGTTTTAATAGCAGTATCTATTGTATTCACATCTGTTCTGCACATGTTCGCCCTGCTACCACAGTCAAGAGCATAAAGAAAGGGAGAGTTATGCATTACTCAGTTCATTCACTGCAAATGAATCCCAGCAAGTGGGAATGGCTGGTGAATTAGGAACTCAATGAGAATAACACATTTTGGACAGTCAGCGCTACTGTAGGCTAAGCAGCCACTGATACTTCACATACCTGTGCACACCAGTTCACACCAATGCCAATGTGCATTTTTTTCAAAAGTAGGTTAGGCAGGACTTGCACCTCAGGTTAGGAAAACAGCACCCAGGAGAAAGGTGAGGTGACCAGCTGATGGATGCTCCTCATCCCTGTCCTGCAATTTTCTGAAACTCGTTCTGGTGGGAAGATGTACTAGTTGCAACTGCACAGACTCTTGGTATGAGCCAGGAGGCTCTTGCCATCTAATTAAAAAGTCCTGATGTAGTGTGAAAGCTAATGGGGATTATATCTGAACAAAAATGAAATCTTTCTGATCCTTTCTATGATCACTAAAAAGGTTTCAGATTTGCAAGTGCTTCAGTGCAGTAGCTCCCACATATTATTATTAATATAATTTATTATTTGTTATCAATAAGTTACTGGGAAAAGGACTCATAACTCAAGTTAAAAACCAAGAGTCTCAGAGGCAGGATAACATCTTTCAAGGGGCATGGGCACAACTTTGTTGCATCTTCTAGGTGGGAAGAAGGAACTCAGAGGTGGTTTCAGCTGCAGAGCATCTTGCATCTTTGGGCAACCAGAGCACACAAGGAGCAAAAGTGGGCTCACAACAGATACTGCTATTCAGCAAGACTCTGATCTTGTGCTGGTGAAACACATGCATACCAAGAGGAGAGTCTGTGCCCAAAGTGCTTAAGAATAAGTTACATTTCACTGCCTCACAAAGGTGTCTTTCTGGAATCAAATCAGAAGAATATTTGTATAAATAAATACTTGAATGTGGCTGCCATTGGCAATATTAACCAGTTTTCAGGATAAATGTTCTTCTGTTCATGTGAAGTAGATCTAAGTGAAATACGTGAGGTGGAGACTGCACTGCAAAGGCAATGCAACCACGAAGGATTTGTGCATGTTGCAAAATGAAGAAACTCGGAGCCTAGGACACTCACCCTGGTCTCGCTTCTCTGCTAAGTGATTTAGCTGGTACTGAATTAGCTCACCTTTAGGGCTAGCCTCCCCACCAGGTACTAGTTATCTGCTTTGGTCTGAGTCCCTCTTTCACACCAACGCAAGCTTACCTGCATTTGATCGTTTCTTTGGATTTTTGAGACTTCGGCACCTGCCGCTCGCAGAGCTGCTGTTCTCGCTCATGGAGTCTTGTGCCGAAGAGGCGCTCCCCGTCGCCTCACTGTCTCTCATCATGCTCTCGTAGCCACTGCTCCCCCCGCTGTGGTAGAAGAGGGCTGTCTTCCCCATGGCAGGGGGCAGCTCCCCACTCAGGACACTGCTGTTGTCGCTCCCGTGACCACTGCTGCAGCGGTGAGGTTTCCGAGGAGGGGTGATCTTGCTGTAAGGTGAAGGCAGCATGTGAACAGCTGGCTTCTCGTCTCCCGGAAGGCCTCCATGCTCATCTGCCTCTGAGCTTCCCCGTGGCTGTAAGCCTCTGGCACTGGCACTCCCTTGGAGCAGCTCTGAAATGCGCCCGTTGACGGCACGAAGGGGCAATTTGGAAGCAAGGCTGGAGCCCCGGTTTCTGCTGAGGGACTGCGTTGACCAGGACATGTTCTTCCCACTCGGAGGCAAGCTGGAGCTCTGCCCTACGGACTGAGGCAGAGACTTGGTCGAGAAGCTGAGCGTTTTGGTGGCAGAGGCAGACAGGCTGCGGGCCTTGGGACTCGCCAGCAGGAGCTTGCTGACTGCAGAAATCTTCGACTGGCTGGCTTTCGGGGAGGCACCTGCGGACTGGGAGAGGCCCGAGTTGGTGGGTGAGGACATGACACTGCGGCTGAGGCTCCTTCCGGCCCTAGGCATGGTGGTGTCTTTGCCAGGGCTCATTTTGGAGCTCACAGAGGACAGGCTTTCTGCTCTTTCCAGCGACAAACACTCATAGTGGCTTCCTGTGGACCTCCCGAGGGAGTTGGTCCTGCTGGCGAGCTGCTCCAGTTTGGCACTGAAGAGCTTGCTGCTGCTGTTGTTGCCACTGGTGTCAATGCCAGGGCCCTTCTGTTTGGCACTCAGCTCCTCAGGGAAGCTGGCCAGGAAGGACCCGGGCTGGCTGGAGGGACTGCTCGTGGTGCTGCTGGCTGCGCTGTGCTGGGGGCTGGCTCTGTTCTTCTGATCCAAGCTTGACTTTCTCACCGGTGGCAGAGGAGGGGTCCCTTTGGGACGAGTAAGGACACAGTGTTTGGGAGAGGCCATTTTCTTGTCGAGGCTACCCTTAGAAAACTGGGGGAGGGCAGGACAGCCAACTCCACTGGTGTCAGTGGCAGTAGGATGGAGGTGACTGTCAGGCTCCTCCAGCTTGCTTGCCTTCGGGAGCCCTCGAGGGAGGCTGCCATTCTTCAAGCCGTCACCAGAATGAACAGGGCTTTGGGTTGCAGAGCCGGATGCTGCTACCTCACACCCATCCACAATCCTTTTTGGACTGTCAGATCCTGGGGAAATAGAGGCGTCCCCGCTGCTGCTGCTGCTGCTAAACCTGTCTGCTGAGGACTGCTTTGTGCTGTGCTCAGGCTTGGCTGAAACTCTGGTTGTGTCAGGCCTTGGCCCATCACTGCTCCCAGAGCTGTCCTTTTTTACATCTTCTTCTCTCTTCAGCCAAGGGTCTTCAAATTTAATATCCTTCTTAGCACTGGATTCTTTCCCATCATGGGCATGAGCAACTTTTGGGTCTGCGGTTACTGCCGGTAGAGTGTCATCAGTGTCTTGTGCTTTGAAGGGGTTAACGGCAATACATGGATACACGGTAATGTTTGTCTTCATTGGGATGTAGCCTTCACAGCTGCTGAGGCTTGCGGTGTTTTTGATTGTGACAGTAGTTTTCCCTAGAGCTGATATTTTACAGCCTTTGATGGGTGGCACTTTGCCGAAAGCTTCCTCCCCCATTTCTGACAGTATAAGCATGTTGTCAGTCACTGGCTTCTGTTTGTCACTTACACAAATCATGCTGGCACTTTGTATGGTGCTCGCAAACTCAGAGACAGGGGGTTCTGCCATTGCTTCCCCATGCCCATAACATGCCTGGGCTATGAAGCTGTGGCATGACTGTTCACCGTCACTCCCTGTGCTCATTTCACTCAACCATGAGCTGATGGATGAGCGCCTGCTGCCATCATCCTGGGATTTGTCATCCAGGCCCAGCTTTGGAAGTGGAAGGAACTGCGTGATACTGACTTCAGACACAGGAGCTGCACTGGAGTAACATTCAAGATCTTCAGATATGCTGCTGATAATACTGACTGGCCGAGACCCAGAAGCCAAAGCCTGCACAGAGCAGTCACTGTTAAAACTGATGATACTGGTTGGGCGCCCGTTGTCAAGGACTCCACTAATGGTTAGCTCTTCTACAAGGGTGAACACCAGCTCGTCCTCTCCATTCAGCTCTAACGGCTGCTGCACAGTCACCATGGTGGTGCTCAGAATCTCCTTCTTGGATTCTGGAGAAATGCTTTGTTGCTGGTCTTCATCAAGAATGGTCTCTTCAAAATCCCCATTGCTGGAGGACACCGACTTTTTCATGATCTGAGGGCTCATGCCTACAGGTGGGGTCCGGATTTCTGGCTGCAATAAAGATTCACTAGATGTCATCCCAGTATCCTTACTCAGGGGAGCTGGTGGGGGAGTGGAGCTGGGCAGGACTCCTTTCTGAGTATAGACCTTGCACCTCTGTGAAGGAGAAGTTGGTGGCTTGTACTCAGATGTCTTCGAGAGGCTCGCAATGCCGAGCCGGGGCGAACCCATTGGCCGAGGTTTGCCTTCCACAAATCCACAGGTATTGAGACCTTCTCTGCTGCTCTGCAAGCTGGTGCTGTGTGCTAACTGACAAGAGCTAAGCTCTTTACTAGAGCTGCCTGTTACACTCCTGGGAGAAGAAGGAGTTGAAACATTAGTAAGAGCTCCAGAAGGAACAGGGGAGTGATTTCTTTTAAGTTTGCTGGGTGTTGCATTTATATTTTCCTTGGCTTCTCTGTCAGGATGTTGACTTTCTGGCATCGTATCTTCCTTATCTGACTCTGGTAAGTGGCTAAGCTCTGCCAGCTGGCTTGAGACAGAGCACTTAGACATCTGGTCTGAGCTAAATTGAGCAGGCATCTCTTCAAAGGGAAATTTGTCGGTCTCTTCACTGCCATCTATGCAATCCAGCCTCTCCTGGAGCTCTGCAAAGGTGTTGCACTTCAGGCAGTCTCTTTCAGACGTGCTGGGCCCCGATTCACTAACTTCTTCCAACCTGCCCTCATTTTTGGTCTTTTGCAGAGCAGGAACTATGGGAACAAAGTCAGGGGGACCCTCATTATCTGTCAGTTCCTTATCAGAAAGGGCAGTGCCATTGGGGCCAACGTAAATCACCGTGTCACATGACTGCTCGCTGCTGGACGAATAATCAGGATCACTTGATAAATGCAAAATAGGGAAGTCTGGGTCAACAGTGTTTCTAGAATGGAAAGGCCTCAGCTGGGTTGGCCTCCGCATCCTGCCCTCCTCACAAGAGCTCTCTCCTCCAGAAGAACTTGATGTGTACTGCAATATGAGAGAGAGAGAGCATATTACAGCATTGCAAATGGCTCCTTGCACAAAGTGCATACACAAAAAGGTCACAGTCATATCTAAACTGGGAAATCTCTAAACTAAAGCACAGAGCTCTGAAGCTTCTTATCCACAGTCCTACAGCAAACACACAATAGTGTTCAATGGGGAACCCAATGCCCCAACTCTGTGTCCCACTCGAAATCATGAGACTTCCAAGAAGAAGTACTGAACAAATGGATTAGGATCCCTCCCTTAATTGAGCCTGGCCAAAGAAATCAGATATTTGGCAAAGGCTTTGCTGATTTTGTGTGTGTGTGTGTGTGTGTGTGTGTGTGTGAAGAGGAACAAGAAAACTCATTACACAAATAAGGGACAGAAAATAAAGACAATCCCTGTTTGTTCATACTGCCAGTGTGTGGAATTGTATAACGTGCACACAGAGGCCTCTGGAGACACACTGCTGTGATGGTGTGTGGACTGAATCCCTTCACCTGTCTCTCTTCAATCCACTGACAAAAAAGATTTTGTCAATCCATAGGCTGTCAATTTAAACGAAACACATGAGGTTCACTCGTTGTGCCCGATTCACACCATAAGCTGTACACAAGGAACCAGGACACTAAAACATGAAAGTGGATACAGCCCATCCTCACTCAACTTCTTGGAAAATCTATCACCTGTACTTAGAAGCAATGGGAATAAATGGGACATTGATGCTGGCAATGGACACACTGCTTTGCATTTATTTTACTCCTGCTCTCTCTGAGAAGCATAGAGAATCTAATTCTTCATTAATCCCAATTTCGTTTAACTCTACAGCAGTTTCATTCCTTATTATTTCATTAGCACTAAGAGCATAACCAAAAATAAATGCTCTCTGACAGCTATATCATTAAATGCGGTCAGCTTACAAACCTGCTATAGCAGATATGTCTGAATTCACTCCTCTGTATCTGAAGCTGAAGCGTTTAACCCCCTCAGTCTCTGCTATGTGCTCTAAGCCACTTGCCTAGGACAGGGTAAACACAACCCACACACTTTGCAATTGATTACTGATTTTGTTACATGCTGCTCTACCCCATCAAGGATCCTTTAGGGACCTTCTTCCTCCCTCCTCCACCATTACAAGAAGGGAGTTATACATTGTCTTACCTTAGTTTTCTTTTTCTTCATCCTGAGGACCCTTGATGCAATCTGGATGGTGGACAGCGTCTCAGCGTAGTTCCCTGCAGCGGCTGAAATGTGAGCTATCATTGTAGTGCGGCAGTTCATATTCCCCAAGGACTCCCGAAGCAACATGGTGAGCTTGCTGTCTCTGCAAAATAAAATTAATTAAGGCTACATTAGCAAGCAAGGTTTCATTTTGACCATCGTGATGTGACTTGGGTCTCGGCAAGATTTTTTCTCCTCTTTTTAATGGAATCCTGATTAGTTTCCTTCCTCAGGTTTGCACTATGTTGTGTCTGCAGCTGAGCATGCTGAAAGACCCTGGACTACAATTTTAACTTCTTTCCTCTTCCCAGTTCCTCCATTCTGTCGTCTTCTGGCCTCAGTCCTTCTGCACTCTTACCACTGCCAACACAGAGGTGCAGACCAGTGCTGGAGACTAACTGTTACGGAGCCACTGCAGCAAACATCAAACTGCTGCCCTTTTCCAGTGTGCAGCATGCAAGCAAACTCTGGCCCAGCTCTGGAGGACAAGAGTGTAGTGGATTAGATTAGAGGACCCAGATTTTTTCTTGCCTTCTAGGGCACTGGGTAACTCAATAACAATAATAGTTAAATCACTGAAATTAATTTTGGATGATGCTGGTGAAATACAAAACAATCAAGCCTTAAGACTTCGCACAGTTGTTCTTTTTCATACTCGATCTTTTCTTCCACTGAGGCGGAAATAAAATTTTCTGTTCCTGCCACTTACTCTATTGTTCGGCATAGGATAGCTTTTGAAATGCTGATGCCTTATTGTGGGCTTGTCTGTGACTGGACTAAGAATATGAATTTTAACATAATGCATAATGACGCATATATAATGCTTCTGTGGTGGTCATCTAATCCTGTAGTCAGAAATGCATGATATAATTTTTAAAGAGAGCTGTAGCCACAAGGTGTGCAGGTCAACTGGATGGTTAGTGGGGAAATGGCATCCTCTTGAAGAGAGCCTCTCCTACCCTAAAGGTTGTGCATGATAGTTACATATGGCTGAAAGCAAAGACAGCAACAGCCTGATATTTACCTATTGCTAAAGGAATTGCTTTCACTGTTGTAATGACAGCAACATCTTCAGTGACTGGGGATCAGATTTTTGGGGCTCACTGTTCAATATCTGCTAATGACCTATGGTGCATGTGTGCCCTTGGTCGTCACCTTAACATCTCCAGCTCATGAGAGTTCTGCATAAAGCTGCAGCTGCTGGGAACTGAAGCTATGCCTACCGGATGGGACTGACAGACAAACACCAAAATTCTTCAGCCTCTCTTTCTGATTGAGTAAACAACAGCATTTGGGATGCATCTTTTGATGCATCTAACAGTAAGCCTGGGGACCTTATAAATTGTGCTTCTCCTGAGATTTCCAGTACTTGCAATTTCAGCTAGGCTAGCAATACTGGAAGTAAAACTTTTTTGTTTCAGGATTTCTGCTTCCATCTGCTCCAGACACATTGAAAACAGTCTGGTGTCTTTGAGAAGCAAACAAACATCTATAAAGACTATACTGGGACAGCCTCACTCATTTCACTTGTGACCTAAGGCTGCTTTGAACCCACAGATCCAGAGTTAATAGGCTGCTGTATCTCAGCTTAGTGGCCCTCCTTTCCATCAAGGAATAATTAAGATGTCAGATTTTGTACATCAGTTACTGCCACTCAGAAATTTTTAACATCTGCACAGAAATCAATAGCAAGCCTTTCATTTGCTAGTGCTTCTATCATAGCAAAACATGAGACAACAGGGGAAAGGGCAAAAGAATACATTCTGACCATGTCAGTCTCCTGAGAGCACACAACCCATGCAGCCAGCATCAGCACACTGTGGCGTGGCTGTCCTCGAGGTATATGCGTTATGAATATAAAATAATCTGTGCCATCTGTCTTGTACTGAAATACACACTTGCAAGAAGAATGACAATACAGAGGAAATACCTATTCTATAATTCAAATGATCCTCTGACATATATCAGACAGGAACTAAAGGGCAGATTTGTTTAGGATTAAAGCCTGAAACCTAGCAGCATAAAAGCCCAGCCAACACTGATTTCTAATTTCAGAATTTGCTCAGTCAGCACAGTCTGCATCTTGACTATCAACTTCACTTTGCACCCAGACAAAATAACTAGCCTCATGTCACTATTGTACACTGAAAAAATAAAATAAAAAGGAAGAAATTTGCTAAACACAGTTTTTTATCAATTCTGGACATTGTCATAAGACAAGTTCACCTGTTCAAGGTTCACTGATCTCTCACAATAGCACCTACTAACTTCTAAAGGAAAGAAAGAAAATCAAAGAGAACATAATAACACAAAAATGCGTGGGTTAATTTTTAACTCACCCTATCCTCATCAAGTAAAATATTGGTAAAATATTTTTGATGTCTCACTAAAACTTGCTTGACAGACAGTGTGAGACACAAAGTAGATGCTTTGTTCTTCTGAATGCTGACATGGCATTTCTGCCTGAAAAAAAGAAAGGCTCTGAATTGCTTCATTAGGTGATTCATCAGCTGGCATTTGCAAAAGCAAAATTTCCTGTGAAAGCAGAATTTTTACAAAGAGAAGGGCTGCACTTCTGCACTGGATGAGCTTTGAGAAGGAAGACCTTTGTTGATCTTCTGGCTGTACAAACTAAACTAAGACACAGGGAATTTTGAAGAAGCTCACAGAAGGGCTGCTGCTCCTGGGTGCACATTGCTCATTGTATGAAGCAGCGGCTGGCTTGCAGAAGGTCCCAGATTTCTCATAGCAGCATAGTGAAATGCACCAATGTCTTTACAGCAAATGGGAGATCTTCAGGAATGCTAACGGTCCATTTCTATTCTGCTCCAAGAGCAATAAAATTATATGCCAGAGCAGCACAATGACCCCTTTTTATATACCTGTCTTCATTTTAAATGTATTTCTATCCCATCCACTAATGTTTTTTATAGTTTAGGAAATTTACCATAACCCATCATGAATATGAGGATATAATACACAGAGAACAATGAAGGTGGGGTCAGGATACCACACTTCAGACTCCAAAGCCTGTATATCAGTAAGTCAATTCTGCAGCCTTTTCAGTACTTAAAAATTACCTCATTTTTCTAATGGCATCACTTTGTCTAATAAAATACATTACCCTTACTTGTAAACCTTTTCTTGCCTACCTCTTTAGATCATCATGGCTACAGCAAAACTACTAAATATTCTTCATATATCCCACACAGGTAAAACCCCAAAATAAAATGTGCAAAGCTCTATCTCTGGAAAAGTCCAGAGGCAGGAGCCCTGGGGGCAGGAAACTAAAATCAGATGTCTCTAGGAATTATGTCAGCAGGTACGGTACAGAGGACCCCGAAAAAACTGTGCAGATTTGCAGGTGGAAAACTCATTTAATGGAGTAGCAGCCCTCCACATGGAGAGGAGCTCTCTATTCTCCATGCTGCTCCCTTACCTCCTCCGTATTTCCACCTTCTCACATTACAGCAGCTACTGGAGGACTTATAGTGCTACTTTCTGCATCTCTCAATAGCTACCATAAGGAACCCTAGCAGGTATGAAACCTCCCCAAAAGAGATGTGGCAATGCTGCAGTGAGCACAGTGTTCTCTATTTCTTCTCTTCTGAGACTTCACCATGCAAACTGGCATCAGTGTATATTAGTCCTTTCACTTGCTCACTAGGAAGGAAGTACTCAAGAACATGATACATTTCCTTGGACATTGCATAAATCCCTCTTGCCTATGTGCATTAAGTCAAAGCCTTTAATTTCATGACTGGATACTATTTTTCCAGTAGACCCTTGCCTCAATCACTGCACAGGATAAACAGTGCTCATTGAACAAGAAGTTATTCAGTCTTCCATTTAATCCTTGCCTTTTAATGTGCAGACTTGTGTCTTATCTATTGTTAGGACTGTACAAACTCAGCTCTGACTCCAGAATGACTGATTTCTTCAAAGGTTTGTTTTTTTTTTTTTTCCTGTGGAGCTCATCAGTGCAGTATCTGATGAATGCCTCTGAGGTGAGGTATATAATCCTCTGATAATACCTGCAGCATTGAAGACTTCACTAAGTATAGGTGTTTGGTGTGAAGCACTGATCTTTCAGAGTACTGAGCATTATATAGTCTTTTATATTCAAAGTACAGCTAACTTTGACTCCTCTTGCAGAGAAAATGGGGCAGCTGGTTCTCAGTCTGGGTACCCAGAAAACCAGGAACATACAATTAATAGCCCACCTAAAAATTTTAGGAACACATTGGCAGAGCCAGTTCTGAAGGTGGAATCAGCTCCCTTCACAATACCTCCCTTCTCTTCCACAGCCCTCGGTCCCATTTTCCATATGCCATCCGACTTCTGCTACAAATTAGGGAAGGAATTTATTGACAATGATCACGTCACTGTATAGTCCTGATTCATCTCTAAAGCAGGTCCTTTATCTGCCTTGAAAAAGATGATAATTGGAGGGGGAATCCTGCAAAGACAACACAATATATAGCCTATGGGGCCAAAGTAAGTTTGACAGGACAACCCTAATTTTGACATTTCCTGCCCCTGCAGTGATTGATTCACAATCTGAATGCTCTTAATATATATATTTTATGTAATTTCATGTGGATTTGTGTTCACACTTCAATGAGACATCAGCAAGCCTGGAACCTTCCTATGTATTAAAAAGCCTCAGTTGCCAAACTAGCCGACTAGCTGGCAGCAGCAGCCTGTTGCCACCTTTTGTGTGGACAAGCAGTAGAGAAGGACATGACTCACAATTTACCATGAGGTTTTGCTAGTATTTTCTGCCTGTAGAAAAACAGTGAGCCTCAGGAGCATCACAATCCTTTCCTATGCTGTAGGAGAGCTGTGCTTTCATGTGTTCACATCCTTTTGCCATGCTCTTCTCTACCAGACAATCCTGTTCTCTTCTATCAGTGTCTATCCTGGGCTTTTCTCATCCAACCCTCTTACTCGTTCTTATTCCCATACCATGATTCTCACCCCCAGCTCCTCACCTAACCAGCCCAGCAGAGCTCCATTTCATCCTGCTGTGGTCTAACCAGCTACACCAGATTGCCAGTCTCCAGTATCACTGCTAGACTCTCTCCCAGTACTAATCTCCTC